CCTTCCCTGCAAATTCCCAGACAAGCTCCTAATTCTCAGTGCTGGGCTGAGCCTCAGCATGGGAGTCCCCTGCCCGCCCAAGCACGGAGAAGATCTTCCAACAAAGGGAAGCTCCAGGTCTCAGCTCTAAAACTCTTTCTCTGAGATCCGTGTGAACACACCAGCTTGCCTAACACGAGCAAATCTCTCTCCCATTCCCCTTCTCCAGCCCCCTGGGAGAGGGTCTTTGATTATTTGAAACCAGAGGTCTAAGGGTCAAGGCCCTCATTTTGCTCTCCGCTCTGATTTGAAGGGAGACATCGGGGAGGCTGGCGCCTTGTTGGCACAAACATTTACTGGAAGCACGAATGACAGCAAGTATGTATTGACCAAATTTAAAGAATAAAATGTGGCCAGAGCAACAAAAGAGTCTTCATGGGGGACAAAGGACATAATTTTGACTTCAGAACTGTCCTGAAACATGGGAGTGGATGGTCCCCAAACAAGAGCAGTGGGAGTTAGGAAACAGCCTCGCCACTTCTCCCCTGCTCTTTTGCCTCCTCCCTGTCGTTCTCTGTCCCCCTAGCCCTCTTCCCTCTTTCTAGGCCCCCTCCTCCAACACCCAGGCTGGAGGAAACACGCATCCCGCTTGCTCTCCCTCCCTCCCCTCCTGACTTCTCTGCCTTCCCTTCCCTCCTCTCAGTTCGTCGGTTCTTCGCTGGCTCCCGTCCACACCTGCGCGGCCACACCCTCGCGCTGCAGGGTCTCGGTCTCCCTCCTTGAGAAAAGGGTGGGGTTTCTTTCCCAGGACCAGCTCAGTTTCTCCCTGAGCCTGATTTCGTGCCCGGTGAGTGCCCCTCCTCATCTGAGCTGGCACCCTTCACGTTTCGTTAAGCAAGCCTCTTCCTTTCCTTCGGAGCAAGCGCCGGGTGACTGCTCGCGGTGACCTGACGCTAAGCCGGGCCAGCGCCGCGCGGGGGGAGTCCCTGAGTGGGTGGGGCAGAGGAGGCTGCCCGGGTCCCCCAGGCACCAGCCGGTCTAGAATCCTCTCCAAAGTGCCCGTTTCAGTGCAACTCGTTGCCTTGTTACACTTTTCTACCCACTTTTATGGTAATGGTGATTTTTATTTAACCAGCTGTTAGCATGAGCCCAAGAGATTTCTCAAAGCAGGAATGGTAGGATCTTAGAATGTCAGAGCCACCCGGGCTGAAGGACCACCGAGTTCGACACCCTGGAGGGGACAGGCCATGCTTTGCCGTTGTCACACAGCAGTTGGGACAAGACCGCTGCCCCTCTGTCCTCCCAGCCCGCTGTCTTACATTCACCCCAGGATTCCTGCCACGGTGCCGACTTGTGCCAAAGGAGTTTTCTATTTTAACTATCCTGTTTGGAGAAAGAATTCATGAAACAGGCTCAGGAAACACAAAAACTGCCACAGCCACAGGAGGCCAAGAGCACCAACAGCGCAGGACTCCATTTTAGTTCCAGGGAAATGCCGTCTCCACAGCAGGAAAGAGGACGTTGTGGACCCGCATGGATTGTTACAAAGGAAGCAAGAGGAGCCGCAGTCCCCACAGGTTTTTGTGTTTCTGTCTTCATGCTTCAAGTATCAGTGAACCTCCCAGTTAAATTGAGGGAGACGGTTTCGCCTAGCCAGGGCGCCAGGGACTGAAGTGTTACATAAAGCCATCTTAGGACGTGTGTATGTCGGGCTGCCGCAAATTCAAGTGAAACCCTAACTAGAACCATATTTGGGCTTCCCTGATTACCAAAGAGCAAGTACAGTCCAGAAACTCAGGGCCATCTTGGCAGAACTGGGAGGAGTGTTGGAAAAGGGAGGTTTATGGTCAGAAAGTTCCAGTTCTACACTGCTTAAGGATTATGGGCTCCTCTCAAGGGGTTGACACCCAGACTGCCAGCCAGCAATTAGATGGAGGCCTGTTCCTGTAGTTACCATGACAGGTGGTGACAGTGTATAGACGTGGGCTACGTGAACTATGGACCGAGTTATGGGACGATCCCCAAAAGGCCAAGTGAGGAGCCTGTGCTCCTGGCACTGGATTGATCTGACCCTGACCTGGTAGGTAGCCACCCTGGGTGTGTCCCTCTGAGTACATATAACTGAGAGTCCCAAATGTGCCTAGGCTTTATAGGCAGCTGTGTATATACATGTGGTGAGTTAACGAAGGAACCATATGCATGTGTTTAGAAAACGAAATACCTCACAATCAAATCATGTGGGTTTGGTTGACTGTGCAGAGTTTCAAAGCTTCAAAAATGCTCCCTGTTCTTTCTGAGCCTTAGGGGGAAAAAAGAAGAAGAGAGAAAGAGAAAGGAAGAAAAGACAATGCAACACTGATCCATCCATCAAGTTGTAGTCATTAAATATTAAATAAGGGTTTAAAACATATTAAATGAAGGCGAAGTGTTTAGAGGATCAGGAGCATTGGGTGGAGCAACAACAAAACTGGAATAGATGTTTTCTGGGTGCTTCCAGACCCACAGAACCAGGAAGTTATAGAGAAGCTGATTTTGGTCAATTTAAGGAACTCTAAATAATTAGAGCAGTCCCACAAAGGGGGATGAACGTGGAGATGTATGCTGAGGTATCGAGCTCCCCCAGTCTGGAAGTTTCAAGACCTGCAGCATAGCCTACTGTCCAAGATGGTGTAAAAATCAGATTTCTGCATATGGTGGGAGAATGTATGAGATCCCTCCCAAAGTTAGAATTCTGTGAACAAAATGAAGGATGGAATGGAACTAACTGGCCTTGTGCCTATGGCCACGTTTTAGGTATCAGCCCCACCAGGCTCTGCAAAGGCTACAGAAAAGCAGCTTTGGCTCATGGATGACGAAGAAGCAGGTCTCTGACTGTGCTCTCTCCAGGGGTCCTGGCACGACCTGAAATCCCCAGAACATGCCAAGAGGGTCCATATTCTCAGGGTGATCTCCACAAAGCCCGGTCACAAGGCTGGGGACCTTATGGCCTAATCTGGTCTCGGGAGGGACGCAGGAAGGGTTGAGAGAGGCACAGTGTGCAGAAGGGATGTCTTTCCTTTCCTCAGAGGTCTGCCCAGGAGCCCTGGGAGGCAGCCGGGTTCTAAGGATGTGATCTGCTCTGGGTTGGTCCTTGATGGCTTTTTGCCAACTCCCAGGACATTTTAGTGCCCACAAACAATGTACAATCTGGGGGGCCCTTGGCCAGGGCGCCGGACAGGATGTCCTGCAACACCCCCCCCCAGCCCTCTGCCCCCATTCTTCAGAGTCTGGGTGGAATTGGAGCCGCCTCTGAGGGTGGGGCGCAGCAGGGGGGACGAATAATCCTTGCTTTCAGTCCTGCCAAAGCTGAACTCCAGAAAAACTCCCACTACTTCTTGGAGGAAGAGCAGAGAGCGGAAATCAGAACAGTGCTTTCTAAATTGTCCTCAAACTCCAGGAAATAACATGCATGTAACATATTTTCTCATTTATAAAGCTGCAGTATAATGTGAAATGCTGCACAGATAATGCAATTCACGATGGTTTGCACCCCAAGAACAGTCGGTGTTTTGCTAGTTGCTGACTGGTTAGACATTGCTTGTTAGTTTTAACCTGCACAGAACTAAAGCAAGATTCGTACTATTTTCACAAGATACCATCAGTACTGGTTTAATAATGGCTTCCCTAATGCACATCCATATAATCTGGAAATAATAAACATTAGAAGCAAAAGTAGGAGTTCCCTTCATCTTGAAAACTTGCCCTCACACCTACTTACTCATCCCCCTGGGGCAGCTGTACAAGCAGCGCTGCCTGCTCAACACAGGGCTGGTTACGTTTAAATCTAAAAACCTAACTTCATCAGACAAGCTGAATCCTGTTAATCTCTTCACCTTGTTTACACGGGTGAAAAATATACCAGTATCTATGTTGAAATGGGCCACGCCTCTCGGTAGACACTCAACCAAAACGCTCACCTAAAAAAAAGCCAGTAGGAAAAACACCTTCTTTACTTCTCCAGATTGGCTTCATGATTAGCCCGAGTGTTTGCTTTGCACAAGCACATTTTAGGAAAGAATGAAAAGACAAACTTCCCAAAATACTCTTTGCTTTCCATGCAGGAAAATCCCACAACCACTTTTTTTAAAATTTTGTTTTATCATTTCTGATCTACCTTCATCTTTTCACGCCACGCTGAAATGCAACTGTTTGTGGGTTGGGAACACAAAACCATACACCAGTTTTTTTACAGGGACAGATGAAGTTCTCCTGCCCCACCCTCCCCTCCAAACCCGCTCCCCTGCACATCTGGCCAGAGGGGGAGCAGTCTGGAGTCCACATCAGCCCCCAGTCCCGCCAGCGAACCCCTCCCACGTTTCATGTGAAACACCCTCTGCCTCTTTCTCTAACAGTTTTCTTTAAACAAACCAATCCCCCGCTTCCCATCCTGTGAGGAGGGGAAAAAAAAATACTTAAATTTAAACAGAAGCGAATGGAGGAGCCAAAGGGCAGGAAAAGCAACGGCAAAAATAAACTGAAAACCAGTTATCTACCCACACACACACACACAAAAAGTCCAGCAAACAAGTAACAAGCTGAGAAACAGCTCAAATCCTGAAGGAAGCCGTGGGAATCAAAACGGAGGAGCTGGAAACACACATCTGGCAAGTTTGGTCTGTAGTTTCAAAGGTATGTGGCGTTTGCGCCATGAAGAGCAACCCATCCTGGCGGTTCCAAAGTCCCTGCCCCCGCCACATCCTCAGCGCGGGGAACTCAGGTGCTGCAAGACAGACGGGGATCACAGCCCGCCCCCACTCGTTGCCCCCCGATTCCCTCTTTAACACGCATTTTTCTGAACTTTTCTGGAAAAAGTTGTCTCGGTATCCGCTTTTAGCTAAAAGTTTTGAGGACTTGGTTCTTAGAGAATCGTGCAAAAAATAGCAAAGGACAAAGAAAAAGCAAAGCAAAGGCGAGGTGGGGAGAGGCGTGGAGAGGCGGGAGAAGGGTGGCCCAGCTTCCTGCCCTGCTGGGCCCTGTCCTACCTGGAGGGTCCGAGTGGCTGCTGGTGGCCGGTGCTGGCTGCAACCCTGTCCGGTCGGCTCTCCTGGAGGTATGTGACCGCACTGACGGGAGGGACCGCCTCCCGAGGTTATAAGTTTCCTGCGCTGGTGTGCTGGGGTGTGTGATGGGCGGTTTCTTTTCCCTGTTTTAAAGGAGTTTCTATGAATCAGTCTGGCTTTAAAAAAAAAAAAAAATTGTTGGTAAGCTACGCCCTGCTAAGTTGGCAGTCAGTCAAGTGCGGCTGGGAGTGAGCCATCGATTCAAAGAACCCCGTTGTAGGCTCTCTCTGACTCAGATGCACAGACCACAGTGGAAAAAGGAGTGACAGTGCTTCACATGAGTAATAGAGTCACACAAATAGATCTGTTTACTGAAGCCCATGCCTCCTCCCCAGAAAGGAGACTCGTTGCCATGGACGTGGGGCAAAATACAGGGTTTCAGTAGGGGAGGGGGAGGAGAAGAAGCACCTTGCTAATTGAAGCCCTAGCCAATCACCAAATGGCGTTCCCATCCTTCCTCCCCCATTAAATGCATCAGCTGCAGCTCACCGTCCAGAGTGATAAGATTTATTTCCTACACACTTCCCTGTCTGACCCTGGTGCTCTGCCCTGTGGGTGGCTATAGCTGAAGGGGACACACCAAGGGCCCTCGGAACCCTGCCTCTGGGTGATGGAGCGCTAACTGAACCCCAGACCACCCCCGGTCTTCAGTTGTGCTCTGTGAATGCCCTCAATGCCCGGATGGACTCTCCACAGTCCAGGAGGAAGTCCTCTAGGTAAGAACCTTGCTCTCTGAGCTCATGTAGTCATCACCTGGACCTTGTTCCACCATTGACTTTCGGGAGCCCGGCCAGCAGCATAATCATCACAACTACCCCCCTGCGCCACTCACTCCTCCCTTTCAGTGCTGGCGCTAGGAAGGACCTGAGAAGTCATCTAACCCCACAGCTTGGGAATTCCAGTGGAGAGAGCAAGAGCCCAGATGCCTGAGGCTCAGATGCCCAGATGCCCAGATGCCTGAGTTCAAGCCCAGCCCCCACCCCTTACTTGCTGTGTGACTTTGGGCAAATCACTCAACCTCTCACTGCCTGTTTCCTCATGCATAAACTGGAGATAGTCCGGACTCATCTTGTAGAGTTACGGTAAGAAACACATGTATAGCGCTTATCACAATGCATATAGTGAGAACTGAACAAATGCTAGCTATTATACAAGATTATTTTATTGAAGAAGAAACCCAGGCCAAAGTGACTGATCCAAGGAGATACAGTGAGTTGACAGTAGCAGCTTGGATCTAAGTCGCCAAACCCAAGCAATTCTGTTGCTGTTATTCTCTACTGCCTCCCAACACCCTGTTTCAATTCAAAGTGTGGTGATATAACTATTTATTCATTCACTCGACCAATACATGCTGTATATCAACCCTCACTAGGCCCTGTTCAGAGCATTGGGTCACAGAAGTGAACGAGATTCCTGTCTTTGGAACTTATATTCCATAGGAGAATAGAGAATACACTGGTGGCTGTTCACCAAAATTTTAGTATTAGGTGGTAAAATTATAGGTGAATTTTGGTTTCTTCTGGTCACATTGACATATTTTCAAAATCTTCTGCAATTAGCCTATATTACTTTCTTAAGGTAGCTGGGATGTGTACGGATGGATGCTTTTTAGGAAACCATATCTTTTTTTTTTTTTTTTTTGAGACAGCATCTTGCTCTGTCACCCCAGCTAGAACATAGAGGTGTGAGCATAGCTCACTGCAGGCTCAAACTCCTGGGCTCAAGTGATCCTCCTGCCTTAGCCTCCTGAGTAGCTGAGGCTACAGGTGCATGCCACCATGCCTGGCTAATTTTTCTATTTTTTTTTTTTAAGAGATGGGAGTCTCACTATGTTGCCCAGGCTGGTCTGGAACTCCTGGCCTCAAGCGATCCTCTTGCTTCAGCTTCCCAAAGTTGCTAGGATTACAGGCATGAGCCACCAGGCCTGGCCCAGGAAAAATATATCTTAACATAGGAAAGTAGAGGATATTTTCTAAAGTGGATGATAGGGAAAACACCCCACCACACACACACACACACACACACACACACACACATATACACACACACGCGCGCGCGCGCACACAAACACAGTGTACTGTGTCTTCACAAGTCCCTGAGAACTGAATTCTATCCCCATAAAGATAAAGTCTAGATTTCTCATTAAAAACTGATGATGTGACAAAGATTGCATCAGTTCCTCATGTATTTCCTCACCTGCTCCCTCTCTCATCACTCACTTGATCAGGAAAATGCCTGGCTGGGAGGAGCCACTCCCAGCAGTGAGTTGGGAGTCCCTGTGATCTCCAAGCAGCCCAACCCTCCAGGGAGGGGAGGACACCTGACCCCCTGACCTGAGGCCCAGGAATCCTCCCTCATGGGCTGTCAGGACTGGCATGGTATTCCTTGCTGGAATCTGCCTCTCTCCCTGGCTTTCTCCTACTCTTGGGTTGCCTTTCACCTCCGAGGCCTTCTGCCAGGTCCAAACCCTCCTCCCCCAGCTGTGTGTAAAGGAGGCTGAGCTCCAGAGTGGGTGACGAGCTCAGATGCTGAGCAGTACCTGCTCTGGTTGCGTTTTTTAAAGAGAAACCTAGAGCCGGGGAAGATTGGAGGGGAGGCATTCTCCTTCCCACCTCCCTCTCTGGGTTAACTAAGGGGAAAAGCAGGAACTTTTCTTAAAGCACTTGAGTAAGAGGAACCATTTGGTCCTTCTGAATTCCCACACTGGGTCTGAAAGAGTCGGAGACGGAGGGAGGGGCTGTGAAAACAGGACTCAGAAAGCAGGAGTTCTAGTTTTTCCTCTCCTGCTGCTGGCAGTGGTGGTGAGCAAGCCACCCGCCCTCCTGCCTTGCAGCCTTAAGTGAGAAGATGGCAGAGCCTTCCAGATGGGCCTGACAAACCTCACCTTCCTCTGTGCTTTTGGAGATGTTTAGGTTTGGAGAGAAAATATATCGAATAACTGGAGCTCTTAAAACACACCCGTGCACGCGCGCACACACACACACACACACACGCATACACGGTGGTACCATATAAAGCTAAGTTATATAAATATTTTTAAAAGATAAATGCCAGTCCGGGATTTCTAAAGGTTTGTAATTTACCCTTGAAATATCGCTGAGCTCATTTTATAATGTAAAACAACATTATCAAGTTTGGGAAAGAAATGAGATCGGTTCTGGCTGAGCCTCCAGCGTATTGTGCCTCTGGATGTGATTGAAATGTTAAAGCTGATTCTTCCCATGGCCGTGAGGGGACAATTTTAAGACTATGGGCAGCAAAGGGGTCAGGGGTTTAAAATCTCATGAGGCTGAGCAATCCAGCTCCCCTGGCATTTATATGGCCTTTCCAAACAGTGCAGCCTAACCTGCCCTTCCGCCCTGGGCTCCCATCTCCCCCATTTGGAAGGCAGATTCCACACATTCATTTTCCACATGGGCAAAGGACCAGGCGAAGTTTCATTTGACCTCAGTAAAGCCATATATTCTTGGGAAGGAATGTGGCTCCAGCCCAGCGCAGCCGTGCTACCCTGGAATCTCTTCCCTCCTTCGGAAGCAACAAGAATCAGCTTCTGGCTCGATGCCACTGGGGCAGAATTTCAAGTCAGAACTGGAGTGAACATTTTTAATGAACGTATGAGTCGAGAGCTTTTAATGACTGCTACAAGAAGTCTCCTAATGTCTCCTGACCCCCACAGCCCACAGAAAACTGATAATAGGTTTTGTTTTTGCCCAAACTCAGTTAACCAGGAAGAATTCTAAATTATGCAACATGTTCCCCAAAGCTGTTATATGAACAGGGATGTCAATATTAATATTAGCAAACACTGCTTGAAAAGTAAATAGAATGGAAAAAAGTTAGACAGTATCTTCCAAAGTCAAATGAATGCTCGTTCCTTGCCACTCCTCTTTGAAATTTGAGAATTTACTGGAAATTTCGTATTCCTCCTTTTTCCTTCCTTTCGTTTCTTTCTACTAGGCTCCTCTGTTTCTCTCTCAGGCTGTTTTCTTCCGGCTTTTATTGTTTACTTTCTCAAATTCCTCTCAGTGAGATGTGATTTTAATATAGTTTCACAAAATGAGAAGTCTCTAAAGTCCCGTTAGCCTTGCCCCTTCTCGTTTCTTAGCTCGTCCTGAAACGGCTTGGGAAAGATAAACCCGATTAAATTCCAAGAGCATTCCTAGAATTTGGGCCATTGGCTGCTACAGTGCTAGCCAGTGGAGACGGAATTCTCACTCACAAAGTGGGGCATTGTGGTTCTAGAGTAGAAGTGGCTATGTCACTGGCAACAGTGACATCTGAACTCGGGAGGAGAAATAAGCCAGACCAACCATGTTGGGCAGGACCAGAGTGACACTAAGTGCTGTCACCAGTTTCTTCAGACAGTTGGGTTACGTATGGAGAGTCGACATAGCCGACAAGTAAAGACCTTCCGGGCTGCGTCCACCCAGGGTATGGCTTCATAGCCAAAGAAGAATAGCAAACAGACAAATAGGAAGCTATGGTGACAAAAATAAAAAGTGGAGCCATCTTGTCTGTCTCCAATGAATGTCAAGTGCAGTACTAGAAGGTAGATATTAAAGGTATATTGAATAAATGGTTTTCTTTTGCATTTTGGCCCTCATGTTACTGAGAGTCTTGTTCTTCCTGCTTCAGGGACCATTTCGGGTAAAGAACTGAATATTCCTAAGTAATTAAAGAGTGACTTCCTCCCCCGGCACACACACTTTGCATGGCCAGCAGGTCCAGTAGGTAGAAGCTGGCTACGTAGCAAGTGACCAGGTAAAACCTAGTACATTTAATCAATAAAGTGTCTAATACCCAAGTAAATTCATTTTTCATGTTCTCCTTCAAGACTTTTCCTTCAAACCTGGGTGCTGATCAGAGCACCCCTCTAGCTAAACCCACACAGTTGTGGGAAAAGCAGTTAGTGCATGTCTTTAAATCTGCCCAAGGAAAATGGTCACAGAAGGGGGTTGCAAAATCAAGTGGTCTAGCCTAGGGATCTTAAGGCATGTTCCCCACAGGGAACATGTGGTCAGCAAAGCACACAAGACCCAGAGACATGCTAGAAGTGATCTTAGACACCAAGTTAACACTTTCAAAGGCACAAATTGCTTATTGATGAAAACAAACAACAAACACCAAGTAGAGTGACTCAATTATTCAGCCTCATTGGAAAACGGAACATTCTTTCCAGTTAAATTTTAGGATAATGGATCGCTGAGATGAGACAAGACCTATTTCAACCCTTTGAGACATGCACACACACAAGTTGGCCTTT